GCTCACAGTGGAGAAAGTGGTAGAGACATTGAGGGGGAGGCTAGCTGAAGGAAGGGGGTCACTGGCAACATGCCTTTGACGGTTATACCTCATCCCCAAAGTCCTCCCAATCCTCCACCACACACTTCCATCATTGTGATGTTTTGCCCAAATCCCACAGGGACAAGCAACCATGAATTGAACCCTGTGAAGCTATGAACCAAAGCAGGCCTTTCCCCTTTTATGTTACTTTCTCAAGCATGTTGTTCAGAACCATGCAAAAATAACTAACCCAGAAAGACGTGGATGAGCACCTGCTGAGAGCAGACTGTGCCAGCCTGGACCCTGGGCAGATAGCCTGGGCTGGGCAGAGCCTCCATCCCCTGCCAGCCCGGGACCCTGGGCAGATAGCCTGGGCTGGGCAGAGCCTCCATCCCCTGCCAGCCTGGGCCCCTGGGCAGATAGTTTGGGCTGGGCAGAGCTTCCATCCCTAATTCTGCCCCAGGCATGAAAGGAATGACCCTGGGCTGACAAGAAAAAAGTGTGTCCTGTTCAACCTAGGGATTGTGGGGTGCAGTCAGAATATAGAATAGAGAGGATTCCTCTGTCCAGGCAGAGGCTGAAACAAGGGCATGCACTCAGTGGGCAAATGTTCTGTATGATACAGAGACACAGCTATTATCTGCAGTCCGCATCTCCATCACACACACACACACACACACACACACACACACCATTGTAATAATATCGCCCCCTTCACACTATTGGTGGTGAAAAATCAAGCAAGTTGAAGGATGTAAAAGGCCTTTGAAATTAGAAAGAAATTGCAAAGTTCCAAATGTCACTGGCTATTCTTCCACAGTTAGTCCATGTGCTTATTAAAAACACACTCAAGGGATCTGGCGAGATGCCTCAGCTCAGGTAAAACACCTCCCTGATGCCCATCTAAGTGTCAGGTGGGGGCTTCAACCTCCCTGTCACCCCAGCACTTGGGAAACATGGAATCCCAGGGGCCAGCTGCCTAGCTAGACTAAATGAGCTCCAGGTTAGAGTGACCCTGCCTCCATACATAGTGGAGAGCAGTCAGGGAACACTGGGGTCAGCATCTGATCTCCACACACATGCACACATGCTCACGTGAACATGTACACCACACACACATACACACACAAAATTAATTCAATAAATACAAATGAAAAATGTGGGTGAATGTGTGATTTGATTAGCAGAGCCACATCTTACTCCTGAATCTTGCTAAAAACAGGCTGAAGCAATTGCTACTTTTTGTTTGTTTGCAACAGGGTTGCTTGCTCAAAAGGCTGGCCTTGAACTCATGGTCTTCCTACCTCCTGGGATTACAGGGGAGCATCAGCACAACAACTAACAATCTCTATTATTTGGGTGGAGGCTGTCCCCAAAGAGCTCACAGGAGAAGGCTGAATGCAAATTCCACTAGTAGGTCCTTAGGCCCTGGGGTTCCTGCCTTTGGAAGGAATTAAGGTAGTTCTCCTGAACTCAGGTCAGCCTAGGCAACCCACGGACTGGATTATTCCACGGTTTCCTGTTTTATGATATAACCTCTCTCCTCTGGCTCCCACACACTGCCATCTTGGATTTACCATTAGGTCTTTAAAAGGAGGACCCAAGGGCTGTCCCCGTCTTCTGCCTCCAGAACTGTAGGCTAAGAGAACTCAGCTTCAGGTTAGATGAGGGCAGAGGTGGGAGGAACTGATGTGAGTGGCAGCTCCAGCCTGGGGAGGGAGGGAGCGGGGAGAGCTGCAGACCAGAGCATCACGTGGGATGTCACACCCTGCCCAGTCAAGGAAAGGATGGAGAGGACCCTGATGACAGGGTCTAGAGTGGGCTAGCCTCTGGGCAAGGCTGTGAAGGACATCAACATTAGGCTAACTGTGGTTGGCTAGTACAATTCTATAAGCTAAGGGCCCTGGTCTGAATAGAAAGGAGAAAGTTGTACTGGAGTGTAGCTAAGTAGTCCAAAGAAAGAGGGCGTTCATTTGGATCACCGTGCAGAGCTGGCCAAGCTGGAGAGGCCTGGAATCTCAGCAGTCGGGAAGTACAGGCCAGAAGAGCAGGAGTGCAAGGTCACCCTCAACTACACGCTGAGTTCAAGGCCAGCCTGAACTACTGGTGACCCTGTCTATAAATAAACCCATACACAAATAAACAACTGTCTGAAAGAGAAACTTTTGTCTGTGTCTCCAGTGACTTGGAAGGCTGAGGTAGGAGCATAGCTTGAGCCCAGAAGTTGGAGGCCAAGCCTGGGCGTCATAGGAAGACCCTGTCTCAAAACAGTGTGCTAACGAATGCCTTTCTTATCCTCGAGAGTCTGCGGCTGGGCTGGGAATCATAGTGCCGGCAATATCTGAGAGGGCTGTTTCCCTGTGTTTTACCTCTCTCTCTCTCTCCCTTCCTTCCTTTCTTTATTGTTTCTTTCTTCTTTCTTTTCAGTCTGAGACAGAGCCTCATTCTGTAGGCTCTGTCTCTAAACCAGTGCTCTTAACCACTGAGACATTTCCCAGGTCATATTTTAATTAATTAATTATTTGTTTGGTGTGTGTGTGTGAATTCAGGTGGCATGGGTGACACTGTTACAAGTGGAGGCTGGAAGACGAATTTCAGGGTGTCTCTTGTTGTCTCTGCTGTACTGGCCGGTTAGGAGGGTCAGCGCAATTCTCCCGTGTCCACTGTGACAGAAATGTTAAGATACACAGTTAGGTGCATGTCAGCACATCCACCTTTGTCAAATGGCTCCCAGGGACTGAGTTCATATTAGGCTTGCTCAACAGATGCTTTAACCTGATGAGCCATCTTGCCACCCCTGTGTGTTTTGTTTTGTTTATTCAGGGTCTCCTACAATTAAAACTGACTCCCAACCTGGGTGTGTAGCCAAGGATGGCCTTGACAATCCCGCCTCTAACTTCCAAGTTGATTCCAGCTGTGTGCTACCCCAGTTTACGTAGTGTTGGGGATCGAACCCAATGCCTTGTGCATTTTTTGTTTTTGTTTTGTTTTGTGGTGTGTGTGTGTTAAGTTGAAACTAGTGTGCTATTTTAAGTCCCTCTCTAAAGTGACCCAGGCCCATTTCTGAATCTTGGCTTTATCCTAGCGTAAGCTTTTTCTTCCTGGTCCCAATCTTGGCAAACTATCCAAATTAAATATATCCTTCAGAGTCTGTATTTATTCATGGACATCCAGCATAGTCCTGACACATGCTTGTTGATTTTTGCCACTTCCTGTTGCCCTGCACCTTCCCTGAGCATGAAAGCTCAGTGGATATCTATCCCCTGACTGGTACCACTGCTCCTTACAACAACAGAATCTGAAACCAGAGTATAGTGTGCTGACTGCTAAAACTTTAACCCTGGATTAACCCAGCGAGCTCCTCAGCTGTCTGTGCCTCACTCTTGTATGTAAAATGGGAATGACAATAGGGCCTCCATTACATGGCTGTTTAAAAACACTGTAAGCGCCCCCAAATATGGAAGTTGTTATTATTTTTAGCTCTTCTTGAGGCTGAGGGTTTTTTTTATAGGCTTTAATTCTGATTGAAGACAAAAATGAACATTTGAGACTCGAGTCTTTGGACAGGCTTCATTCTCAGCTCATCCCAGGACCTTGAGACAACTCCCCTCCAGCAGCTTGTGCTCATAAATCCTGACTAATGACACAGGTATGTCGCTTTAATGTTTGTGCAGTCCAGTGACTTAATGTTTAAAGATCTTCAAATGAAAGGCACCCAAGGACAGCACCAAATACCCTATCCACTACAGAAAAAACATGGGAAAGGCAGAGATGTCAGAGCCTACTGCAGCAGATAATTAAATCAGGCAGCTAGGAAGAGGACAGCCATCCTTAGACTGGAACTATTTATGTATTTATTATTTGTGAGACAGGATCTCCCATGTAGCCCACAAGCACATTGAAATCTCCAGGATTCCCTTGCTTCTACCTCTTCAATTGCTGGGATTACAGGTGTGTCCACCACAACTCACTTAATCATTTAGAAAATACAGAGACAGGGAGAACTTTGAACTCTTCAAGGGTTGGAGGTGACCCACAGGAGTGAGGAACACCCAAGTCCTTAAGTGACTTGAGATGTGGGAACAGTGTGAATATTTCACCTTTTCTAAATAAATAAAAAAAAAACCATAGCAACAACTTGTATACTTGTATTGTTACTCTAATTGACTTAAGCCAGTTAAAAGGCTTGGGCAAACAGGCCTCTCTAAGTAGCTTGTTTGTGAGCTGTGACAGGTCTCACATTATGCCAAGCTCCCTTTTCAACCACGTGCTTCTTATTCCAAGGCTCCCAGTCACCGCCTCAGGCAATGCACCCTCTTCCTAGACCTAGAAGCCACACTAGGGTAAGCACGTGCAGGTGCGTGTGTTATCAGACTCCTTGGTACAGAAATCCTCACACTGGAACAAAAGATCTGTCAACCCTGAGGTCAGAGCAAGTTAAAAATAAATAAATAACCGTTACCACCTCTGTGAGTTCCCCATCCCCAAGGTGATGATCAGCCAGGGTGTAGCTCGTAGCTTGGAACGAGCCTGACAGAGTTCTTCGGTTTCATAGCCTTAACACTACACGGTTTCTTAAGCAAGTTTCTTCTTTTGTAAGTGGATATAACACTACAATCTATCTAGTAAGTAACTCGCAAAGCGAACAAAAAGGCTGGAAGTTTCTGTCCCGCTGAAAACAGCAGGACAGAACGCATTAAAGCCTTCAACCCTATACTAACCACGACACGAAGTAGAAGCCACCACAAGATCAGCCCGCCCTTCCTGAGGAATCATGGGCCGTGAAGTCCTTTGGTAGCTACACCCTCCTGAACCGCCTCGGAAGTGAGAACTACATCTCCCAGGATGGCACGCTGAGTTCACCACCACCACCCCCCGCCCCCGCCCTCTTCCCCGCCCATCGCGCGTAGCCTCCTGGGATTTGTGGTTCTGGAGGTACAGAACTGTGTGGTGTCAGGTTACAGAAGAACCACACGCCCCAGAAGCTCTTGCGCCACTCTTCCCCTCCCCTCCTGCAATCGGGTGCTGTTTTTGTTGTTGGTGAAAGGTGAGGGGAACAGCTGATCCGTCTGTGGGGTAAGAAACTTGGCCTAACTGAGGGTGGGCTTATGTGGGGGTGGTCAGTCCTCTTCTTAGCCTGCGAAAGGCTAATCCGAGAGACCGTAGAAGAAGACGGCAAGAGAGTTTAGGTTTTAATACTTTACGCACTTAAGAAGCCAGCCCCACGTTTCGGGTGTTGTTGGTTTCAAGGGGGCCTTGAGGGTTAACCCCCGCATGGTCCTCATTCTCTTGCGAGACCTTCTCTGTAAAGCTCGTTCTACTTATAGAAGCTTGAAGGCACTGAAATATTTGCTTAATCTTTCTAGGCAAGTCGTTGCCCTCACAGACCTTCCCACTCTCACCCATACCCAAAAATTCAAAGGCCTTTACTGCGCTGAGGGGAAAACTTCCAACTTGTAGAATGCCAAAACACTTAGACCTACAGTGGGAAGTGACACGCGCGCGCACACACACAGCTTTTGAACATCGGTAACTGACCACATACACTTTAAGTGTCCAGGACTTTCAGTCACGGAGATTGTTTGCAGCTGTTACAGATTTTGTGTGTGTGTGTGTGTGTGTGTGTGTGTGTGTGTGTGTGTGTGTGTGTAGGGAGGGAGGGGTTCGGGGTTCTCGACGCGTGGAGCTTTGTAGACAGTTACATTCATCCTACCCTCAGAAGAGTTGTGTTTGAAGGAAACAAGCTGAATGTAATGAGGGATTTTTCAGAGATGGAAATTAAAAAAAAAAAGACATTGAAATAGGTTAGTCTAGCTCTTTTCTAGGAAGAAATTGCTCGCTTTTGCATTGCTGGCCCACCTTTATCTCCACAGAGTGTCAAATTTCTTGTAAAGTTTCTCCCCACCGTCTCAGCCTGGTGTGGGTTTTTGATGTTTGGGGCGTGCATATGACTAGTGAGGGGTGTTGGACACACCAGCTGCACCTGGCACAGGAAGCAGATCTGCAGGCTGGAGAGAAGAGGGCTGCCCCACAGCTCTCGATTGGGGAGTAGTTTATTTTATTTTTTAAGTTGACATAAAATGAGTTTCATTATGACATTTTCAAGCATGTACATCATCTGTGGTTCTTATTCATCTCTGAGTACTTTTGGTTTTTATTTCGATGTGTTTGTGTCATGTGTGTGTGTGTGTGTGTGTGTGTGTGTGTGTAGATGCAGGTGTGCAGAAGTCCCAGGACAACTTGGGGAAATCTGTTTGCTCTTACCCATGTAACTCCCAGTGAACTCAAGTTGTCAGGTTTGGTGGCGAGCACCTTTCCCACCAAGTTCTCCCACCCCGTCCTGTGCTCCTGATTCTTACCTATCCTCGCCCACTCCGTGGTTTCCAACTAACTCTCCCAGCTAACTTGGAACTTCCCTTCCCACTCCATCCTACCTGTGTAGCCTTTGTCACCAAACCAAGCGTATGGCAGGATTTAGACGCTTAGAATTGAGGCTAAGAAGAGCCAGCAGGGAATAGGGAGGGGATACTAGAGCTTAGTTAATATCCAATCAAATCGCTGGGTTTCTAGTTCTGCTCTGGGCAAGATGTGGGGAAAAAATAGAATGTTCCTTGTACTCTCACCCTTTTCTCAACATTGAATGTACATTTCCCCTTCTCGGGCCCCTTATTTACCCAGTTTCCAACCTGTTCCCTGCCTAAGGGTGGAGCTTTCCTGGCTCCAGGCCCCCACATTCCATCTCCCCACACCCCCACCTTCCTGCTGAATATTTCACCCCACCCTTGAACTACCACCTCCAGAATTTTTGACTTCCTGGAATAGAATTTGAGGGACAGAACTTGTCTTTCCCATTCTCCTCCTCTCTGGTTCTCAGAGAAAAGCCCAAGTGTGCTTTCCTCTGCTTCCGTGGAGTTAGTCAGGACAGACAACTTAAGGATGGGTGCACTAAGAACAGAGGCACCATAATCAGGCTGTTGGTCCCTGAACCATATTCTAACTCTGAACTCCATGTCATCAGAGATTAGTTTTTGTTTTGGGGATCTTACCTGGGTACTGTAAGGTCAACAAGCTTAGGCACATGTAGGGGAGACCTGCTCAGACTGGATTTTCAATTCCGAAGCCAGAAGGTCCAGGGAGTTGGGTGGATAAACCAAGAGAATTCGGAATTCTCAAGGATGTTGGAAAATGAATAGGAGGTACAACTGGGACAGAGACTTGGTCAGTGGGCAGTGAGAAGGAGTAGAAATCAGATAAGTAAGGGCCTGTAAGTCCGAAAGGGCACCGCATGATATGACAGGGTGGGAAACAGACACAGAAGATAAGACCTGTGCCTCAGAGATTAAGAGTGATACTTTGAAAAGGTTCTACAACCTTAGGGGCTGAAAACCAGGGGTGTCCTGTGTGGACAAGGACTGTGGGTGGATGCACATGGATCTAGAGGGAAGCAGAGTGGAAAGACATAAGTATGCCAACCCGTTTTTCCTTAGGACAGCAGGAGGCATCTCGACGGTAGGATGGAAGAGTCATCACTGAGCCGGGCACCATCCCGGGGTGGAGTCAACTTCCTGAATGTAGCCCGGACCTACATCCCCAACACCAAGGTGGAATGTCACTACACTCTGCCTCCAGGCACCATGCCCAGCACCAGTGACTGGATTGGCATTTTCAAGGTATCCCTAGACCTCTCTGGCTGAGGCTTTTGGGACACATGTTGGTTAGCATAAGAGGAGGGACTAGATTGATGGGGAGAAGGGTGACACAGGTACCAGGGGACGTCTGTGTGAAGTTCATCTCTCCACCTCAGCCCTCTCATGCCTCATAAAATCCTCCCCAACCTTACCCGAGTCTTAGCATCCTCGGCACCACCTATCCAGGCCTGCCAACCCTTCTGTCACGAACGAGGGGTGACTGTCATCATACCTTTCTCTTTCAGGTGGAAGCGGCCTGTGTCCGGGATTATCACACATTTGTATGGTCTTCAGTGCCAGAAAGTACAACCGATGGCTCCCCCACCCATGCCAGCGTCCAATTCCAAGGTATGAAGAAAAATGGGAACCAGATGGCGGAGCCACAGAAGTGGTGCTTTGGGAGGAAATGTTGGGCTGACAGGCATAGGAAGTACGGAGGATGAGGAAATGGGATGCAGGTAACTCCTCACTGCCGGGTCTACTGGTGTTCCAGTGTCATTCCAGCTGCTGAGGAGGCTGGGGCTGGAGAATAACTTGAAGCCAGGATATCAGTGCAAGCCTGGGCAACATACCAGACCCTGTCTCAAAATAAATAAATAAATAGGCCTTATGAGACTTTTTAGCAAGTTATCACAGGATTAGCACCTAGCACTTAAAGAATCCTATAGAAGGATGGATTTAGAGGATGTTTACCCCAAACACTCCCGGTGTGGAACAGGGGAAAGCATAACATCGGAGAAGAACGGCCATAGCAGTTTCAAGACTTAGATTTAGACCTCAGCTCTCTGCTTTACGAGCTGTTTGTCTTTGAGCAGGTCCCTGCTTGTAGGAACAGTACAGGGATTTAAGATGATCTGGAACGTTGGTAGGGAGTGTGATACGTGCTGGCACTCATTAAGTGGCCATTAGAGTCAGCATAATGAGGAGGAGGAAACAAGTTTGAGAAAGAAGGTGGCTGGACACGGAGGAGGAGGAAGCATATGCCAAGGAGCAGTCTCAAGGGAGTGGGCAGTAGGATAACTGGGTGACACCTCTCCTCCCCTCATAAGAAAAGACCTGCTAGCCCTTGAGAGCCAGAGGTGATACTGGAGTTCTGGGCCATTCTTCCCACAGCCAGCTACCTGCCCAAACCAGGAGCCCAACTCTACCAGTTCCGATATGTGAACCGCCAGGGCCGGGTGTGTGGGCAGAGCCCCCCATTCCAGTTCCGAGAGCCAAGGCCCATGGATGAGCTGGTGACCCTGGAGGAGGCTGATGGAGGCTCTGACATCCTGTTGGTTGTCCCTAAGGCCACTGTGCTTCAGGTAAGAAAAGAATAACAGACTCATTCCTCAGCCAGGGATACCAAGGGCGGCCAAGGACAGCGTTATAAGGACACCTTATTGCTTCACTTTCCCTTCTCTGTCAACTCAACTGAAGACTTCCCTGAGAGTTACCAAAGGTCTGTTCTCCAGAAACTAAGCTTTCACATAAACACAGACACATAGGACAGTGAAGCCAGCCATTATTGGCCAATGTAACTCAGGGCTCCTAGAACTGAACCAGCCTTTTCGGAGAGACACTGCCTGCCCTCTGAGTCCTACAGGAGATCCACAGAATGGAGGGAAACTGTCCCCAGGGAACGCAGGGAGGAAGGGAGGCTGAGAACTACCTCTAGCATGGGTAAGGCAGGGCTCTGAACTATCCCAGGCCGTACCAGAGGTGCTGACCACATGGCTCTTTGGCAAGTCAGATGTGACTGATCCGATCTGAGGTATAATCACAGGTAGTAGGATAACACACCACGTTTTAGACACTTAGTATTTTAACATTTATTTATGTGTATCTGTGTATATGTGTGTATATATGTGGGTACGTATATACCATAATACATGTGAAGGTCAGAGATCAACTTATGGGAGTTAGTTCTCGCCTCCTACTGTGTAGGTTGAACTCAGGTTTCCAGAATTGGTAACAAGTACCTTTATCTAATGAGCCATCTTGCTGGTACTCTTAACCACCATTCCTCAGTTACTTTTCCCAGCCCAGGTTTGTGTACATGCATGGATGCAGAGACCAGAATGGAGTGTCCTAGAATACTCGGGGTGGCTGCGAGCTAGCTGATATAGTTGCTGGGAACTAAATTTTATCCTCTAGCATAACAAGCGCTCTTGACTGCGGAGCTGTTTCTCTAGCCCTCATATCTTATTAAGTGGATACTAGAAAATTTAAACTTAAAAATGTGCCTTAAATATCTCCACTGGGCATAGAGAAGAGTGTTAAGAGCAAAGGGACAAGGCCAGACAGTGGTGGCGCACACCTTTAATTCCAGCACTCGGGAGGCAGAGGCAGGCGGATCTCTGTGAGTTCGAGGCCAGCCTGGTCTACAAGAGTTCCAGGACAGATTCCAAAAGCTACAGAGAAACCCTGTCTTGAAAAACCAAAAAAAAAAAAGAAAAGAAAAGAGCAAAGGGACAGGTATTAGGAAGAGAATCTGAGGGAAGGTGAGGGACAGGGAAGGGTAGGGAGGCAGGAAGTTGCTCAGAAGGTGGGAGGTAGTAGCTTCTCAGTGATGTGGACAAAGCTGTGCTCTCTAGAACCAGAGTCTGATGAGATACATGGACCAGCACAGTAGGAAGATGTTTCTACCTGCTGCCGAGGTTCTGCTGGACACTGACCTCATGCCTGACAAGCTCAGTGGTTTGACTTTGAAGATTTACCCAAATCTGTCTGACTCCATTAAGATAGGGTAAACTTCGAACCCCCTTGCCTCACAGATACACCCCTTCTCCTCATGCTCTTGCAGAACCAGCTGGATGAGAGCCAGCAGGAACGGAATGACCTGATGCAGCTGAAGCTGCAGTTGGAAGATCAGGTGACAGAGCTGAGGAGCCGAGTGCAGGAGCTGGAGAAGGCTCTCTCCACTACCAGGCGGGAGCATTCAGAGCTCACAGAGCAATACAAGGTGCAGGTTGGGGCTGGTGGGGAATGGGGCCTAGACCCAGCCAGGCGGAGAAAGGAAAAACGTCAGTGACGTTTTAAGATGGTCCTTGGATCAAGGAAATAGGCTTAAGGGTAATGAGTGAGACTAAACTCTGACAGATAAGAAGTATGTTCCTAATTTGTAATAAGACTCAGTTCTTTAGACCGGGAAGATTGGCATAATGCCTGGTAACAGTTTCTCCATTCAGCCTTTTCAAGGAAGGTGGCAGGACAGAGGTGGGGAATCTAATGTTAAGCCCGAGTCTTGCCCTCACCCTCTGTCTTTCTTGCCTTAATTCCAGGCACTCTCTCGGTCCCATGGGGAGCTCACAGAAGAGAGGGACATCCTGAGCCAGCAGCAGGGAGAACATGTGGCCCGTATCCTGGAGTTAGAGGATGACATCCACACCATCAGTGACAAAGTGCTGACGAAGGAGGTGGAACTGGACAGGTATGGGCACCTCCCCGAGGCCTTCACTCCATCCCTGTTCAGATGGGCATACTTGTTATGTGACCTACTGGTTTCTTCAGCCCTTCACAATCTCATACAGGGAATTCTAGTTATGAGGGGTTTCTTTCTGCCAGTTCTTTATCTATCTCTCCTAATGCTATTCTGTTTCTCATCTTCAGAAAGATCTGTTGTACTTATTATATGGCAGAAGCTAAGTAGAATTAGAGATGGGATATTTACAAGAAGAGATTGGATAGGAATGCACAATAAAAATATTGATTTCAGACTTTGCTGCAGGCTAATGCATGTCCATAGTTCCATCTTCCAGCACAACTGAGGCAAGAGTATCACTTGAGTCTAGCCTTGGAAACATAGCAAGACTTCATAATGTAGTCATATAAATAAGTATGTATGTATATGTGTTATATAAATAATCAAATTATATATTTAAAGCACAGGAGAATTATATTCCATTCTTGTTATTGGTCAATGTCACAACTCAGTGGTAAAAACACCTTTGAGTATGTGCAAGGCCCTAACTTCCAGCACTATAAGAAAAGAGAAATGTTTAAGTTCGTGACCTGAGAGTATGACAAAAGATGTAAATCACAGAATCTTTTCATTGATTTGTTTGTTTTTTGAAACAGTCTCACTGTGTGGCTCTGGCTGTCCTGGAACTCACTATGTAGACCAGACTGGCTTCAGACTCACAGAGATCCACCTGCCTCTGCCTCCTAAATGTTAATACTAAAACCATGGACCACCATGCCTAGGTTACAGAATCTTAACACTGTGAGTGCCATAAGGTATGTGAGAGAAAGTCGCTCAGGGCAACCACTTTCAGTATCAAACAGCTGTCACTTTGTGTCTATTTATAGAACCAAGCTCTACTCATTGGAGAGGCAGAGACAGGAAGATCACCAGTTAGACCTTCCTGAACTGCATAGTGAGTTGTAGACCAGCTTGGGGTGCATGATGAGTTATAGACCAGCCTGGGCTGTGTAACAGATAAGTTCCTGAAAAGAAAGAAGAAAAAAAACACCACAGACCACAGTTATCACAGTTACATCTATCAACTAACATAAGTACTGACCAGCGTCCATGCTGTCTTTTAGATTCTTTACTATGTCCAACACTCCAAATCTTTTGTTTTTTTGAGATAGGGTTTCTCTGTGTAACAGTACCCGATGCCCTGCAACTCACTAGGTAGACCAGGCTGGCCTTGAACTCACAGAGATCGCCTGCCTCTGCCTCTGCCTCTGCCTCCTGCGTGCTGGGATTAAAGGCGCGCCTGGCCTCTCCAGTTCTTTTGTCTGTCAGAGTGTCATCAGGTCACTTTCATTCAGCTCAGTGTTGTTGGTTTTTTAACGACCGCTGTAATCTTTGTGAAGGAAAGAGCAGCTCTGTTCAAGTCTTGGGCAGTCAGGAAAGCATCTGAGAGGTTGCTTCGTAACATACTCCCCTTACCCTCGTCAGTACAATATATCTATGTTGAAAGAGACACCTGGACCAGGGGTCCGCAGACTATGCCTCACATAGCCCATCTAGCCTACCACCTGTTCTTACATGATTTGGAGGCTAATGATGAAATAAAAGAAGCATAATATTTTATGGTAATGGAAATGATATGATATGTCAGTGTTCATTAAGTGTAAGGTTTTATTGGGCCATGCACATCTTGGCACTCACTGTCTGTGGCCTCTCCCAAATCTGCCCCGTCTGATCTATGACAAGTTTAGAATCAATAGTGATTGTCCGTTGTCTTTGAAAGACTGGATTTTCAACTCTTAATTGAGTGGAAACAGGAAGCCATTGCTAGAACATCCTGTACAGTGGTCTATAAAGAGGAAGAAGTTGGGCGGTAGTGCACACCTCAATCCTAGCGCTCCTGAGGCAGAGGCAGAGGCAGGCGGGTCTCTATGAGTTCAAAGCCAGCCTGGTCTACATAGTGAGTTGCAGGACATCCGGGACTGTTACACAGAGAAACCCTGTCTCAGAAAACAAAAATAAAAAAGAAGGAAAAAAAAACAGTTTATGATTATGCTCTAGAAAATTACAGATCAGAGGTGTGGTATTTCAGCCCAGCCCTGTCATCTCACATTGACAGGGTTAGAGACACACTGAAGGCCCTGACTCGGGAACAAGAGCAGCTCCTGGGGCAGCTGAAGGAATCCCAGGCAGACAAGGAACAGAGCAAGGTAAGAGATTCCAAGTGATTCTGAGTCTCTTCTAAAGCTGGGCGCCCCTGAGGGTGAAAATGTAAAGGAGACCCTGCGTATTCTTTCCTCCATGGTACAGTGCTGCCCAAATCACAGAGTGTCACAATAAAAACCTAATCTAGTGCCACAGGGTTCCAGAGAGGTAGATGAGAACACATCTCCTTGGACTTTCGAAGCAGCTGTCGAGGGCGTCCTTACAGTGATGGAGCGAGAGGATCCCTGCGACCTGGTGCCAGTCTGGCCAGTCTAGCAAGTAGAGAACATTTGAGGAAGACACCCAAGGTCAAGATCAGCCTCTGGTCTGCGTGAGTGCAGGCGTGCACATGCACACACGCATAAATGCAAAGGCTGTCAAAGTGGGGTGTAAAGGCCAGGCGCGATGGTCTGCTTGTTATGGTCCAGCACTCAGGAGGCTGAGGCAGAAGGATTTTGAGTTCAAGGTCAGCCTAGGCTGAGACTATCTAGGTAGTACAGAAAGAATGAAGGAATTTAAGTTTTGAACACCTTGAGTCACAGACAAGTAGATGGTAAATGATGGCAGTTTTTAAACTATCAACTTTTAGTCCCAGTTTACTCTTCAATTTGATAGAAAATACAAAGGAAATTTTATTCTGAGGATTACATAAAAATGAAGTAACCTAAAAGCACACACCAATGAAGCAGTGCTCTCCAGTGTGTTGACTTATGTTTTGATGTGCTTCCAAAAACAGTTTTTAATAATTTAGAACAAGGTTAGAGCAGAGACTGTAATTCAGTGTTAGCAAGGCAAAAAAAAATATGATGAATTAAAATATTTGCAGAACCTTCAGTGGCTTTCTCAGAACCCTGGGCTTCTCTAGAAAACTGCTCACACATGAAAAATGGAATTTGAGCAGGGTGTGATGGTATTGTAATTTCAGCACTGGGGAAACTGAGGCAGGAAGATTGCCATAAGCTTGAAGACCTTGTCTTCAAAATATAAAACAATACAAATAAAAAAGTGGGTTGAATTAAGTAGAACAAAGAAAGATGAAAGGGACAGCCTAGGGAAACGTGTGTATGCAGTTTGAGGGAGGTGGGCATCACCCTGGAAGATCTGCAGAGTTTGAGAGAGGTGGG